AATCCACCCCATCTCCGCCCGCCCCTCTCGCAGCCCTCCCTGTCCCCTCCCACAAGCCCCTGACACCCCATTGCACCCCAAATGCTTCATTGCATCTCCCAGCTGCTGGCACCGGCAGGGTGACTTGGTGTCCCCAGACCGGTGACATGGCTGTCCCCATCCCTGCAGGGACCTGCCCACTTGAGGCTCTGCAGGGTTTCTTCTTCTGCTGAAGCCCAGTCTGTCCCCGTGCCCCGTGTCCCCAGCCATGTCCGGGTGGCAGTGAGGACGTTGGCAGCACAGCCAGCCTCAGGCATGCACTGAGTGCGCCCGGTCTCACCCGCCCAGGCAGGCCGGGGCTGGGGTGTGTGTGTGGGGTTTGGGGTGTCAGGGGCCCCATCCAGCTCTGGTCAGAGATATCCCCATCCCTCTTTCAGCACAACCAGCAGCAGCACCTCCCCTTCCCCGCGCAGCCCCCATGCTGGGGACGTGCCCCATCCTGCACCCTCAGAGTGAGCCCAGAGGGACAGCGGGGATGGCGTGAACATGCTGAAGCACTGGGAGCAACTCCTGCGCCAGAACCCAGCCTTGAACGTGGAGCCGGGGAGCGAGAGGGAGTGGTGCTGGTGCCTGTGGGCAGCCCTTGCCTGGATTTAACCCCAAGAAAGCTCCTGCGCTCAGCATTCCCTCCCCATCCGCGGGCCAGCGCTGCCCTGGGGACCTGTCACAGCCTCTCGGGCTCTGTGCCACAACCCCTTATCTTCTCATCGCGGGGTTGCACCTCGTTGTGAAAGCCGGGCGCTGGCAGAAGCCGTTGCAAGCAGCTTCCCCTCTGCCAAAACGGCTGTTTTGGGCTCGTGACCGCCCCGGGTTGAGGTTTTGAGGCTGCGTGTCCCCAGGGAGGGCACAGCCCTGATGCTTGGCCACCTTCTTCCCAGCCTGGCATCACGCTGCCACGGAGCCCCGTGCAGCCTTCAGCTCCTCGGCCAAGCTGGAGCTGCATCCTCCCCAGCTCTGCACCAAAAGGGAACTGGTCCCATTGTGCAATCTGCCGGCAGGGTGGTGGGGCAGGACAGGGACTGGTGGGGCCACACACATGGGCACCAGCCTCGGCGCTGCCTGGGGCTGCCTATCCATCACCAGCAGGAGCACAGAGCTGGGCCCAGCCTGGCGCGACCCCCGGCACCGACCAGCTGGGCTGCAGGAGCCTGTTTGGGGGAGAACAGCTGGGAAACTGTTCTCCTGTACCCATGCCAAAGGCCAGCCCCAAATCGTCAGAAAGCCGCCCGTTCCTGGTCCTTCCCACATCTAAATCAAGGGCATCTGGGGAAAGATCACCCCCAGGAGCCATTTAACCCCCCAAGTCCCTTCTCGCACCTTGGGCCAGCCCAGACACCGGTATAGTCCAGCACTTCACCCCAGCCTGGGACAGACATTACATCAAGCAGGAGACTTTAAAACCAGCTCATCTGGGAACTTCTGTGAGCATCTTTGCTCACACACATCCAAACCTGCTCCCATGGCGACCTCTGGGCCACGTTTAAGCAGCCGGTGGGACTTGGAGCACTTGGAAGCACAACGCTCGGTGTGGCCACAGCGGCCGTGGGAGAGTTTCAGGGCTTGGGATTCCAGAGTGACTTCGAAAGACTTTCAATTCACCTGCAGCTGTGATGCAAGGGCTGGTACCACCCCGCCGTCCCTGTCCCCCCGCAGCACGCCCAGGCCCCTCTTCCAGCGAGCGCTTGTTCGAGGTTAATAGGGCTGGAGAAATGGGCTGTCGCCCAGCGCTTACTCCTGAAAGGCCGCATTTCTTCCTTAATTGCAACTCAAAATCAAATTAGCGGTTTTAAATTTACTCTGTGCCCAAGAGGTACCACGGTGGGGGTGGGGAGGACATACTGTACCCTTCATCCTTATGTAATAAAAAGGGCAAATTGCTGCTTTGAGGGCAAAATTGCTGTCACTTCTGCCCTGACTGGCCCCTTGCTTCGGTGTCTTTGGGGCCTCACAGATGGAGATGCTCATCCTAGATTTGGGATGAGCCTTTGGGGCAATGGAGATTCTTATACTGGATTTGGGATGAGCCTTTGGTGCGATCGATGGAGATGTCCATCCTGGATTCAGGGCTGCCCTGACTTCCCTGAGCAGCCACACCATGGGGCTCACCGGGGGATGCTGTGACAGCCAGAAGCCCCCAGCACTGCTGCCAGGGTTGCGTGTGCCCCTCAAAACCGAGAACTGTGAGGATGTGGGTGCAGGGTCATGGCCAGAGTGCGCCCAGGGCCGGGGATGGCACCGGCTGCATTATTGATGCTGTAATTCAGCACTCATGGACTGGGATGTGGTTTCGTTTTCCAGGGATAGAAACTCCCCTGGGAGGGGTACTGTCAGCCACAGACAAGAGGTCCGCAGCCACCCCGCACCCCCTGGGGGTGGGAGCTGCCCCCGGGGCCCGGCTGTGACAGCGGAGGTGCTGGTGCTCTGGAAGCAGCCGCTCCACAGTGGCCCACAGCAGAGGGCAGAGACAGTCACTGCTCCCAGAGAAAGGAAATTCATGAGCCAGCACTGGGCCAGTGGGGCTGTGTGTGCATGGAAAGCCTCAGCGCGTGCACACACACACACCCTCTGCCGTGCACGTGCATGCACACGCGTGTGCACTCACCTCGCCAGCCTGCCTGCACAGCTCATGCCCCAGGGAACCATGCTGCCCCGGGATCACCCTCCCACCAGCTCCTGCTGCAAATATCTGCCTCTCCCAGCTGGAGAGATGCCATCACGATGACCCTGCGGTCCATTTGGCACAGGCAGTGGGTACTCCCCGCTGATGCCATTTGCCGGTGCTGCCGGGTGCATGCCAGGCCCCGCGGCAGTCCCTGTGTGCCATGGGGGATGGTGCAGAGAGGGGAGTGTGGCAGAGCCCATCAGTGCATCTGCCTCAGCGGAGCAGGGCTGAGGGACCCCAGCACTGCCCATGTCCCTGCCCGGCTTCCTTGGCTAGCGAGTGCCACCTGGACCCGCATGGCGAATCCTTCACCCCCCTAATATACTATGTCACTCGGGGAGGAACAGGACATCCAAGAGGTATTTAAGAGCTCTTGGTGTGGTTGGGGATAGCTTGTCAAGGTGGGCAGTGTACCCCCCCAGTGCCCAGCCTTGTGTGGTGGTACACACTGGGCGAGGGGACACAACCATGTCAGAGCCAAGAGCCAGGACGGAGGAGAAGGTGTCAGTCCAGGGGAAAGCCCTTCCTCTGGGTATCTCCCCCTCAACTTGCCCCATGGACTGAGCAGGGCCAGTGCGCAGCATCCTGGCTAGTGTGCAGCCCCGCTTGTGCCCGCAGCAACGTGTCCCCCGAGACTCTGGCTCACCGTTCCAATATAATCTTTATTGGGGAGACTGATGGGGGTCAGAACAAGGCCGGGTATAAAACATGATCATTGTCACAACCAGCAGTGGGAGGCATTGGCAGAGCAACACAGAAACAGTATCGGCCCCCATTCTCCGCCGACAGCGGAGTGGTACCCGGGGCTGTGCCGGCGGCATCGCCTGCTCCCTCGGGGTGGGCAGGGGGATGGTTTGGCCCCTCTCCCTGGATGGGTGCTGGGCTTCGGCCAGTGCTGGGGGCTGCTCCTTCCTCCAGGGTGCGGGGCTCTGTGGGGTCCCTCTGGCTCGCCCAGCGCCGGTGCCCTGGGAGCGGGTGGTGTGTGCCCCTGGTGCTGCGGCCATGCTGGGTTGTGGTGCTCAGCCCCGCAGGAGCACCTGCAAATTATGGCTTTTTCTATATATTTTTTTAGGTTTATTTTTTTGCTTTTTTGGCAGCAAAATTACCCCTCCAGGTGCCCTGGAGAAAGCAAAACTGTGCACGGGGGGCTGCTGCCCTGCCAGCCCCTCACACAGGGCTCAGAGCTGCTCTGGGGAAGGGATCATGGGCGGGAGCCAGACCTCTGCCCCGCTGCAGAGCCAAGTCCCCTCGCTGGAGCTGGCAACTTGGGGTATCGGACCCTGCGCCACCCCCTCAAGCCATCCCATGGGGCATAAGCACAGGGCCCCAAGTGGAGCGGCAGAGAACGGGCACAGCTCAATGCCTTTGTGAATGTGTAGTGGCCTGGGACAGGGTGGTTGGGGACGGACGGGAAAAAAACAAGAATCCTCCAAAACGAGGATAAAGTGGAGCTTTCCTCAAGGGCCTGCGGAGGAAATGGGCTGCGTGTCTGCTCGCAACCGAGGGACTGGTGCGGTGGCTTGGCATGGCTACAAGGACTCGGGCGCACGGTGGCTTGGCCGCTGAGATGAAAGCTTTGGCAAATAACTTACAGAGAAGGAGGGGGGAGCAGTCCAGGGACCTGTCCTTGCCTCTCGTGCCAGGCAGGCAACCCAGTGCAACACCAGGCACCTCCAGAGCTCCTCGTGCCGCTGCCACCAGCCGTGGTGTGATGGGGAGGGCGTCGCTCCATCCGTGCCTCTTGGGAGGCGCAGGGAGAGAGGAAGGAGGAGGTGCCCAGGGAAGGAGTTCGGTGGGATACTCGATGCACAGCGGGGACACCCGCCACAGGATGGGGGGAGCCGGAGCCCCTGTATGTGCTGGTGGACATGCTCCCCATCTCAGCGTCCCTTTCCCTGGGCACCAGCAGGGCGTTGGGGGTTGCCACCAGGTCCCAGCATCCCCACCACCCCCAGCCAGTGCCATTGAGGATGCTGGTCCCACGTCCTTGGCCACGGCGAGCATCAGAGCATCCCCAGGCTGTGCCGCTGGCAAAGAAGGGACCAGGGACCGGCCACAGTGCAGCACCGTCCTCTCCCACCTGCAGGCCGCCCTGCTGCTGGGAGGTGCGGGCAGGGTTGCGGGGCTCACATGATGGTGCAGGAAGACAGCGGGTTTCGGATGTGGCAGGTGCAGGCAGCCCCGCAGTACTGGCGAAAGGTCTGGTAGCAGCTGCGGTCGGTGTCGCTGCTCCATTGGACAGGGTTGGGGGGCAGGGCATCGGCCGGCATCCTGGTTGTGGT